ATGGTGGAACATCTTTCTACATCTGATGGTGGAACATCTTTGTTGTTTCAAGAGCAGATAAAATGCCAGAACCTGCAGTGTGGAGTTCAGAGGGTTCATTAAAAGCATGTTTTGTCGAACTAAATGTTGCATTAAGTTACGAGAGAACCCTGTTTTCATGGAAGATAAAGAAGTACTTTCTTTTTAGCGTTCACCTGGAAAAACGTGTCACGGAAAGCTCGTTGGACTTGATACTGAAATGAAAAACGAGATGAAAGAACCCAAAAAAACTCCCCGAAACCGTGACTCAGGATTCAGACGGTGAAACACGAGGAAGAATTGTGCCGCTTTAATCTCACAAATGTTCATCTGCAGATTGAACATTGGTGTCGTTTTCGGCCACGATGACATAAAAACGCATCAGCTCAGGTGTGTCCAGGTGGGGGAGGAGCCAAACGTGTCACGTAACCGACGACAACGTGCTGCCGTGTCTGTCGGGCATCGGTTTCACCTCCCGGTCGTCTTGTTTGTTTGGAGAACAGGCGCTCCGTTGTGCCGTGTTGGTAAACAGCAGCTCTTTGAAGCCCGCTCAGGTGTGTGTGTGTGTGTGTCTGCTATCTGAAAGGACGCAGGTGTGCCGGTCGCCCCGGCAACGGGGAGTGACTCACCGAGCGGCGGACAAAGAGACACGACGGCAGGAAGAGACGCTCGTTAATCAGAGCCGGGGCCACGACAGCCGGGCGTTAATTATCCAGGTTTTAATGCAGCAACATGAAGCCCCTCTGGTCCGTTTAGCCACAAAGACCGGTTGTTCTGACCCAACCGGGTACCGTAGGCATCACAACAGGAGCAGAGATCTCACATCTGCAGCTGGACATGGTGATGATTAATCCTCCATCAATTATTTACCGCTGATTTAAAAATGCATCGACCATCTTTATGTGCAAAATCCGACCTCCTCAGAACAACTTCCAGCATCTCTGATCATCTCTTTTTTACATTTAGGTTTTAGGAGAGTTTCCTTCCGGGTTAATAAAGTTTTATCTGGCGTGAATGCCAGAACATTTATTGTATTATCTCCTGGTTGTTCCTTGTTGTGGGAGTTTAGCCAACAAGAGAGAACCACCACCAAGACTTGTGAGGCGTCTGGTGTCCTCCGGCCTGATGTTAATGTTTGTGGTTTAAAATCGCTCAGTCAGCAAGTAGAAGATCAATCAAGTATTGATTTATGACGCGGTCCGCTACTGTTGATTAAACATCCGTCTGTAGCCAAGACTTGTGGCAAAGGCAGCCAGACATTTAGGTTCCATTCTTTGGTTTTATCGAGTGTTTGTGGTTCGTTTTTAGTATTTACAGTTAATTTGAATCTTTCTGAGGCTGTTTTTAGTCCATTTGGGTTTTGTTTTATTTCTTTGTGGTGATTTTTTATTTTTTTTTTGTGGTTGTTTGAAGTCTTTCTTGTAATTTTTAGTGTTTTTGTGGATATTTTTTGTTTCATTGGTTTTCATTTTGTACCTTTTCTGATGTTGATTTAGTCTTTTTTAGTTGTTTTTTAGTCTTTGTGGTCATTTTATGTCTTCTGTGGATGTTTTTGTTCCTTTTGTGGTTGTTTTGAGTCACTTTATTGTCAGTTTTAATCTTTTATGGTTGATTTTGTTTCATTTGTGGTTGTTTTTAAATCTCTTTAAGGTCATTTTGAGTCTTCTGTGGTTAGTTCAAGTCCCTTTGTGGTCATTTTTTGTCCTCTGTGGTTGTTTTGGGGCTCTTTAGGGTCATTTGTAGTCCTCTGTGGTTGGTTCAAGTCTCTTTCAGGTCAGTCTTTTATTGTTTTTGTCTCCAGACAGCAGGTTTTGCTTATTTTCAGTGTGTTTAATCAGAAAAACTTCAACATGTGATGATTCTGGGGCAGGTTCTGGACGTATACCTGAAGTCAAAGTGGTTCATGTCCTGATCCGATGTCTCTGTTTGTCCTCAGGGAGGCTCTAAAGCCGCCATGTCGGACGCCGTCCAGCTGTCGTCGCAGTCGCAGGTCCACGTGGCCCAGCTGTACGAGGAGAACACCAACAAGCGTCCGGTCCTGACCTCGCAGCCCAACGGCCTGGCGCCCATCAGCTCCACCCGGCCGGGCCTGCCGCTGCCCGACCGGCAGACCTCGGCGTCGGACCCGGCCCACCACTGCCGCCAGAGCAGCGCCGCCTCCAACAAGTCGACGGACGGCAAGCCAAAGCCCAACCCGCTGTCCCCGGAGCAGGCCATGAAGCAGTTCATGTCCAAGATGTCCTCGTTCGAGCACCACGAGGTGTTCAGCTACCCCGAAGGTGAGCCGCCGGTCGTAGCGAGCCGTTAGCGCCGAAGGAAACGACGATAACGGCTCCGTTAACGGCGTTCTCTCCTCCTCAGTGTATTTCACCGGCCCCAGTGCGAAGAAGCGGTCGGGGGTTATGGGCGGAGCCAACAACGGCGGCTACGACGACGACCAGGGCTCCTACATCCACGTCCCACACGACCACATCGCCTACCGCTACGAAGTCCTCAAGGTCATCGGCAAAGGCAGCTTCGGACAGGTACGACCACCGCAGCGGGTCGCTTTAGCTAGTTGGGATCATTTATAGATTTTTGTGGTCATTGTAGACTTTTTGCAGCTTTTTTGATTCTGTTTGTGGTAATTTTAGAACTTCTTTGTTTTTGTTTTGTCATTTTGCTGTAATTTTTAGTCGTTTATAGACATTTTTAGTCTTTGTTTTCTTTGCATGNCTATCGGCCGGCTGCAGCGATTCAGATCCTCGGTGACCTCTGACCTCCACGGCTGGAGGAGGAGAAGCTGCATCGGGATTACCGGCCCGAATTAAAGCTTCATCCTCCTTAGAGCCAGTCCATCTGCAGCAGCAGCAGGACCGCGTCGCTGAAGGACGGCTCGGTCCGGTCCAGGGCGGCTCGGTCCGGTCCAGGGCGGCTCGGTCCGGACCAGGACGGCTCGGTCCGGTCCAGGACGGCTCGGTCCGGTCCAAGATGGCCGCCGTTTTCTATTAACTCGTCTGTTTTATTGATTAATCGATTAAATGACTGAACAAAAGCGTCACATTTAGGTTTATCCAGAAAAAATGTGTTGTACACTTAAAAATGTTTTGTTTTAAACTTTTACAAACACAATTTATTTATTTATTATAAAAAAAAAAATCATAGAACAAGTCTTTATTTACACCTTAGACCTCAAAACAGGACAAAATAGTAAATATTATCCACATCAAAGCTCAGTATTTGTTTTGTTTTTTCAAATTTTGAGTCACCGTTTTATTCTAAAAATTGTTTATTATTATTTATCTAAAGCAGGACAACAAAGGTTCAGTCGCTGGTTTGCTCAGAAAAACCTGTAAATGAGAAAAGCTTTAATGACGAAGGTTCAATCTGTCGCTGCAGCTGATTGTTTTAATCATTGATTGGTCTGCTGATGATTTAAGAAGTTTTTATTAAAATATTACAATAAATCAGTTGTCAAAAGATTAATTAAATACTTGTCAACCGATTGATTAGTTAATGTGCACGTTAATGGCTGTCATGGTAACAGGAGGCGTTAAAAATATCAGCAGAACCTCTCGTATGCATCCTGAGCTTCTGAGTTTCTGTCTTGTTTAAAACAGAAACGTTCTCAGTGGGTTTGTTTTTGACATTATTGACGAATGCAGAGAATAAAATCTGATTTCCTCTCCTCTCGCTGTTTTCCAGGCAAAGTGGGCGAGCCGGTCTACTCTCCTGGCCACAGCGGCTCTCAGACCACGTCGCCCGTCGCCCTGCCGCCGCTTCGCAACAACAACCACAACTCCTTGACGGTACGGGAACGCTCTTCTTCTTCTTCTTCTTCTTCTTCTTCTTCTTTTTCTTCACGATGTTTCTGGTGTCGTCGTGTTCGCTGCCGAGCGTCACACAAGTCGTATAAGGATCAGAGTTTGTTTGTGATGTTTCTCTGGTAAAAACAGGATTTTTTTTGCTCGTTTCTGCTGGATTTAGGCAAAGTTTTTCATGTAGTGCTGTTGCAGTGAGTTTGTTTTTCTCAAATGGGGGCATAGACATGTTTTTGTTCTTCAAACTTGACCAGTTAACCCTCGTTTTGTTTGCTCCTCTCAGTTTTCTTCACTGTGGCTCATTTTACCTGCAGCTCTGTGACAACAGAACAACATGAAGGAGGAGCAAGCAGTTAGAATGACAGACATGGACAGTATTTTTGTCCTCAGGTGTTTCCAACTAACTGGGGCAACAGATAC